ACAGCTTAGAGGATTATGGTGTATGGTAGCATATACCCTTAACTCTTATACAAACCACAGGTATAATGTATAAGGTAGCATATTACAACCTTAATTCTCATAAAAGTCACAGGTATATGTTGTGTAAGGTAGCATATATCCTTAACTTTCAAAAAAAATCACAGGTATAGTGTGTAAGGTAGCATACAATCTTAACTGATGTATATCCTTAACTTTCACAAAAATCACAGGTATAATGTGTAAGGTACTGTGCAACCTTAACTGAAATACAAATTACAAGAATAATGTATAAAGAAATTTATGTTGTTAATAATAAATAAGGTAACATACAACCTTAACTCAATCTCACACAAGTCACAGGTATAATAAATAAGGTATCATACAACCTTAACTCAATCTCATATAAGTCACAGATATAATAAATAAGGTAACATACAACCTTAACTCAATCTCACACATGTCACAGGTATAATAAATAAGGTAACATACAACCTTAACTCAATCTCACACAAGTCACAGGTATAATAAATAAGGTAACATACAACCTTAACCCGATCTCACACAAGTCACAGGTATAATGAATAAGGTAACATACAACCTTAACTCAATCTCACACAAGTCACAGGTATAATAAATAAGGTAACATACAACCTTAACTCTCACATAAATTACATGTAGTGTGAATGAAGTGTCATAAATCCATAAATAGGCACTGATTTAATGTTTCCCGATCCTGACGTGATGTAAACAGTTACACATGCTTCCGTATATAAATAGATAATAACGGTAAATGATCTAAGGATTTTTAGGGATGGAAGTTGTGACACTGATGAATAACTATGACAAGAGGAGAAGCTACAAGTCCTAGTAAACTTTGTCACCTGTTTGGTCTTCATATTAACTGTAGGAAAATAAAACTGAGTGATAAATTTTGCTCTCGAATATAGCTGATGCACTGTACGAGTAACCTGTAACCGAGTTCAATTGAGGTTCCTATATATGAATGTACTGCCAAGAAATATAAAATTAAAAACTATATATAAATGACGGAAAACTATATGTCAATGAAAATGTTCAAAAATCATTAAGTTTCCAGAATGTTTTAAACTCAAGTTTTGCTCACAATTTAGTGTAACAGTCAAACTTGCTCATGTGACCACCTCTGTTAAAGGACTGCCTGTGTTAAGTGATTTCATTGTGAATATAACCTGTACTAAGAGACCACCTGTATTAAGAGACCACCTATATTAAGAGACCACCTGTACTAAGAGATCACTTGCATTACGAGACAACCTGTATTAAGAGACCACCTGTACTAAGAGATCACTAATGTATTAAGAGACAACCTGTATTAAGAGACCACCTGTAGAAAGAGACCACCTGTAGAAAGAGACCACTTAAAAAAAGAACTTTCCAGCAGTGGTTTCTTGATACAACTTTGGTTAATTGTATCAATCAGACAAAAAATCTTTCCCCGAGAGCTGATGTGTGTATATATATACTTTAGATGTCACAGATGGCAGTGAATATAGGATAGATGTTTATATATATATACATGGGCGACACAGACGGACAGTTTTAACACTACAGGTGTATATAAGGACAGTGTACCTGTACATTTTGTCTCTGAATAATATATATATATATGTTCTCCCACCAAAACAAACAGGATTTTGAATTTTAAAACCCTGATTTGCATCAACGGAAAACAAAGGCCTCAGTCAATGGTCTAGACGACCCAGGATTGTGTCCGTGGTAGAGTACAAGGGATTGTCCCCAAGTGATGAGACCAAAAGGTCAGATGTACCGAGATGTTTACATCACAACAGTTATAAACAAATAACTAGGCAGGCTTAACTAGTGTATCAAAAGATTTATAGTTGTGGAACCAGGATCTTAAGAAAACAAACAGGCTATTGATGTGGCGAAGATATGCGGCAGACTTATAATTGCAGGTGGTCAGATTTGAGAGTTCAGCGTCCATGAACGGAGAAATACAGGAAAATTTCTAGTGGTCGGCGGTCAAATTAAGAGTTCAGCGTCCATGAACGAACACTTTCTAGTGGTCGGTGAACTGATTATGTGTTCGGCATCCATGAGCGGAGAAATACAGGAAACTTTCTAGTGGTCGATGGTTGGAATATCGTATAGACCAGACGGAAACATCTGTCACTCGGAGTCGTGACTGACAAGGTTTGACAACTTGTCAGTTTTACATAGTGAATCTTTATTTACACATCGAGAGCTATCTTAATCCTGATGCTTTGATGCCGCTACGATGTACTCTCTGTAACCCTCGCTACACAATGTTCTCAGTTTGATTCTTTGTGCAGGGAGTGTTTTGTGCGACATGATAACTGTCAAATAGGATTTTCATATCAGCCATAAGTCTTCACCACAAGGAAACAAAATTCTACACTTCATAAACAGAAATTGTACTGTATCTCAATCTATCTAAAATTATCACATGTACAACAGAGTGTTAATGTGAGCGTAGACTTGGATAATCCTTAAAGTTCAAACTGTTTGTGGAAGGACACTTGCATTGGACTACAAATGTAGTTAAGGACTGTTTCGATTCTAAGATACAGATTTTTAGGACTTTTACTCAACTAGGCTTCAGTTTGGAACTATACCACTGATACATTTTTCTTGGATTCAGATCATTTGGAGCTGTTACTTCGATATAAATAGATCCATTCGGACTGATTATGTAGACTTGAGAGATGATCACCACAATCTTATAAACCATTTCCAGGATGTGAAGAAAGACAACAAGGGAAAACTGAAGCGTGCTATACATACATACACAAATTGATGGAGATTTGCTGTTGGTTAAAGGTCATTTTAAAACAATCAAGATATATATATATATATATGTATATATCACACCCGTTAAATGATTGACAAATCATTAAGTACTACAGGTGTTAAAAACAACACCTAGATATTGACAACTGAAGATTGCTGGACCAATCAGAAGTGACGGGAAAGTCACGCCAATTCTGTGTGTTCATAAATATTTTATCTTCTGACTGCAGGGAGAAGTTTTTATACATTCATCTGATCCTGGCTAACTGTGTGTCTCAACGATTTTATAAAAGCAGGAAAGAATATTCAATTCCTCTGAGAATCTTGCACGCAGGGAAGCTTGCATGTTTTTCGGAATGGAAGCCACGTTAACGATCTGACACTGTGAAGCAAGAAAAGAATTACGCAGTTCTCAACTTTACGATGGTGTCAAAGAGGTCAAAATTACAATACGGTCAAAGTTGAAGATATATCATTCTGTAGTAATTGTTTTGGTTAATTTATATTTTCAAGGTGTGGGAGACATTTTGGTTAACTTATATTATTTGTTCAATTATTCCACAATAGAAATTGACAAGATAAAAATTACAAGTCATCGCAACAGACATAATTTTACAACGTAACTTGTTGTTCAAAAGTATAATATATGTCTTGTATGATTGTGAAGGTGTCACGCTCCAATTTATTCGGGAGAGAACAAAGCCTTGTAAAGTTTACTGCACCGGAGTGACATAATCATACAGGCACACAGACAATTATACCTGGGACAGACAGTGCGTGTGTGATTTCGCCGGAGGATAAGACAATGTAACACAAAGGATTTATACTACAGACATATAACTGGGAAATTCGACCATAGTAGTTAAATATTATACCGGAGGATTTTTCTCTAAAGCTGCGATCCTGCTGTCAACTTTTGAAATCTTACCATCATTTTGAGATTTCTCTTTGTCTATATGTTTATACCTCACACAAGAGTGACTGAGATTTTGTTGCTGGAAAATTTACATCTTGATAGTGGTTCGGAGCCTATAATGACTTGTAAACACAAGGACAGTTAAAAATTGTATCGGAAAGGACATCTCCAAAGCCGTGATCTTTCAATATCTTCGTAACCGTCAGCTTAAGATTTTTCTGTCTACATCACAATTGGGAGTGATAGATTCTATAATCGAAAATTTACATCTCATGTGGTCCTGAGTCGATAATATATAACTTGGAATTTCAGTGACAGTTCAATATTGTAGACTAGAAAGGACATCGCCAAAGCCACGATCCTGCTGAAAATTTCAACTATCTTACCCTTGGCGCGTGATTTCTGTCAACAACACACGGATGTGTTCAATTTCGTTACAGGAAATCTACATCTGATGTGGTCCTGTGTCTATGAAATATAACTGGGAAATTCATAGACAGTTTGATGTTGTACTGTTAAGGTCATTCTCGAAAGCCTGCTGCTGAACTTTCAGAATTCTTTCCCTTAGCTTTAGATTTCTGTCTACATCACAAGCAGGAGTGATTGATTCTGTTACTAGAAATCTACATCTAATAGTGATCCTGTCTTTGATATCTTGGAAATTAAATTCAAGGACAGTTAATTTTTTTATTGAAAAGGACATCTTCCAAAGCCTCCAGCTGCTAAACTTTCAAAAATATTATATGTGGATCAAGATTTATCCGTGTCTACATCACGCAGGAGTGATAGAGTCTTCTACTGGAAATCTACATCCAATAGTGGTCCTAATTCTATAATAGATATTTATAAATGCATTCTCGGTGATTATTATAGGAGCGGAAAATTTATATAGCCGTTGTAAATCCATCTACACACAGGTATATATAGCTGTGAAGCGGTTCACACACAGGTATATATACTGTTATCACAGGTATTCCGTGCCAGGCTGCAGTCTTATCTGTCTGATACCGATCTTTATGATCAATTTAATTATGTAGAGAAAGGCCATCTGTGACACCCACTACACCTACAGACATGTTTTATACTGCATGCAGATGATCTTACGTCACATGTAAATTAGAATCGGTGTATGTCACAGACATTCAGCTGTTCACCGTACCCGCAATCTCATCGTCGACAATATATATATATATATTGTTACTATACCTGCACGGATATTGCTAGTAAATACACCAGAAATCTATGGCTCGAAAACGTTTCATCGCAAATTATTATTCATGGATTTTAAAATTCCAGGATATTCAGTGTTGAAAGCTCGAGAGTCCTTTAAATTGACACCCAACTTGTGACGTGGAGTGGATAGTTATTGTACCAAACAAGTGCTATTCGTTACACCTGATTGGAGCGTGTGATTTTCACAAAGTTCTATAAAATAGAAATTTATAACAATTTCTGTGATTTTATCTCGTTAAGTGTTAATTACATGGTTTATATATATGCAGATATGGTGGATTGTATGACAAGTATTATGTATATGTCCGAAACATACAACCGTTGAAGACGAAATTGAATGATTCTTGCTCATGAATCCTTCATTTTAGTTATAGAAGCTCACAAGAGTCACTCTACATAATGAAGGAATTTATTTGTGATTGAAAAAGATTTTAAAAACTTCCTCTGTGCAAAGATGTTTTTCATAGTCCTGGATTACCTGTGGAATGTGTATAGCCAATGAGATTTTCAACATCGCAAGGACTCAGTTTTAAAAATTGATTGTCACAAGTCACGACTGCAGTGAGGAATTTCGTAAGAGATTTTTTTTTTAAATATTTTGTTTACCACACAGACTCTATATCTGTAACTGAGGTGTAAACAACACTCAGGTGAACTCGTCGACTTTCGTATCTCTGTGTTCCGCGAGTCATTGTCAGCGTCATTAAACTTTATGTGAAATTAAGAGACGAACATGATGACAGCTTAATGATCTGACAGGTATATTTAAGGACATACAGTATATAGAAGTAGCTGAGATACCTACATCAGTCGTACTGTTTATAGACCAAGCTTGAGAACCTGTGGATAGCGGTGCCTTAATACGGATTGCCTTAGAATTCCTGAAGTCAAGAATACCAGACATCAAGAATTCAAAATCAATTTTCCAGAAATTCCTTTCGGTTATTACTTTTTTGATGCAAAGCCAAAATCAATTCAAAGAAACAGTTTTCCTCTCCTGTGGATGGTATATATATTTATCCCTGGATTGCCGACATTATATATCACACATATATAGGTGTTGGAATGTTATTTGCTGAGACGTTTGTATATTTCGTGTTTACGCCTCCCTTAAGTCTCGATCTGTGATGATCAGACAATATCAGCATTGATCAACAGGCTGAAAGGAGAATATAATCGTGTAACAAGCTAAATATCATCACAGGAGCTGCCAGGAACGTCTGATGTCGAACGATCTCCTAATCAGTATTACTGGTGTCTGTGCTGGGACATGACCATAACACATCATTTCTGTCAGTGTCGAGAATCTTGCTTGTCAGCAAGTTCAGCTACCTATAATGGCAGTGCTATCTGATAATTCAAACCAATTTTGAATTTTATCTCATCTTTTAGAGGAAATCTATTTCTTTACCTGCAGTAGTCTGGTATTGGAGGCATTCCCTACCAGTATGGATTATAATGGAATTTTGTTATTGTGATTATATTCTAAAAATATCTTCTTTTTTTTATTATTAAATTCATACTTGTCAACACGTTTCAAAACAGAATCTCCGCCGTTTCTGGTATTTTCATCTGACCAGCTGTAGTACAACTGTATATTTTGCGAGTAATGTTTTGTGTCTAAGACCACAAGAGGTCTTGTATTTAATTGACCAATACATAATGGTGTCCAGTTCTGTGGCTCGAGTGGACTGGTCATACCCACTTGGTCGGTACAAACTGACCGTTTCCTGCAGCAGGGCAGACAGTAGGTAGGTATACATATATGTGCCTTGATGTTTTAACCCAACTTACCCAGGCAGACACATTTGAACTCTTCCAATTCCAATTCAAAGGTTGGAATAGTTCATTATAAAATTTCCAGGGGTGAAAAAGTAAAAATCCTGCAAAAGATTATTAAAATATGTGGTACATGTATTCTTATCACATATTTAGAAACAGACTATACATAAAAACTACATTTAAAGACTGGCTGATACTAGCTGTTTACAGTTTTAAAGCAAATTTCCCAAGAGATGAGTTTGCTCCTGTACATTCACCCCTTAAAACACATTTAAACACTTCCAATTCAAATTTTGAAATAGTTCATTATGAAACTTCGGGGGTGAATGAGTTTGTGTTGGATAGCTAATGTACATCTAAATTTCTCCCTGTATTTAGTCAATGTTTAATGCCCAGAAGAAGGACCAAAAAAATATTGACAGCAGGTTTTTTTTCATTTTACAAATTAAAAGTCTCTTAACTTTTATTCGAAACACATTCTTTGCTCTGAAACTCTTAAATAATAATGGTGTTGCATTTAAATTTACGTGTATTACTAAAGAATTGTAAATTTATTTTGCATCAACTAACTGTATGATATTTTTTAACTAATCTTGATCACGGCGCAAGTGTCAATTTTAAGCTCAGCTGTCATTTAAATAAATGTAAAAGGTGTGTTTGTTTACACTTTAAACCTCCAGGTAAGATGATAAATTGAAGGGTGTAACTCATATCTTCAAACCTGTGTTGTTTAGTAAATATGGAAGTAAAAATGTTTTAAAACTAAAATTTTCATAATCTTCAAAAGGAAACGTGCAGTGCATCTGTTAGTGTACCTGAGTTACTGTGTTAAGACGCCCTGCGTGAGGTGACGTATCAATTGTCGAGTATCAATTACGTGGTTAAAAGGCCATTAAATCTTCGACAGCTGACGTACTTCACACCAAGATTAGATTAGTAATAGGTATATCAAAATGAAACATTATACAGAAATTTCTTTTTGTGTAAAATCGTGTTTTCCTTTGCTGAAATAGCTCAAAAAATTAACTGCCATTACAGCTTCAAATTAAAATAAATGTGAAATTCAACCGTGATTAGACACATTATTTTCAACACAAAATTACTGAAATCAAAAATATATGCTCATTTCTTGTGGCACGACATTTGAAATGATATTCCAATCACTGTGAAATTGATAATGTGATCATTTACCTTTAATCCTTGTGTTTACTTTTGGTCTTTACAAATGTGTTGGCCGGCTTGGCATTAAATGTTACGGGTAAATTCATCTGACAAATTCTTTTTTGTGTGAGAAGTGAAATTTGACATTAACGTAATGTCATGAGCTCTTTTTCGTAACAACCTAACACATTAATACGAGATACGTATATATATATATAAACACTATTTTCGACATGTATGATTGTTACGATTTCTGCTGAATCACATATATTTCGTAAACTACGGAGGAACCTAGGAATTAATCAGTCACAAAGATTTTGGTTACTTATTAATCATATTTGTCAGAGTTTATGCATTATGTACATATACTTAGCACAATTACCGGAGAAGGTATATAATGTAAACCAGGTTTTCACTAATACATACATTAGTATATATCATAAGTAAAATATATAAACTAATAATGATACATGCCATATGTCATATTGTTAATGGTGATGTACTGTAATGACTCTAGAAACGATACAAGGACGCTCGTTTGTATGTTAATACGAAGGTGAAGGTCAGCCTCTAACGATTCGTACCTGTCCATTTACCTATCTGGTGTGACAAGTCATACTAATTGGCCATGGTCATCGTTAGCGGGTCTCCGCTCTTATGACTGTATCTCAGCAAACACAATACTAGCATGGAGAGGAAGGATTTGCTTTATATGAATAATAAAAAGAAATGATAAAACAACGTTTGGATTATGAGTAATGTGAGTTTGAATCTAAATTAATTTTAAGGTAGCTAAGCAATTGGGAGGCCCAGCATCCTGAAAAAGTTCAAAGTTCAAATTTTGGCTTTTCTTCTAAGTTGCCCATTTACTAGAGCATAGAGTTACATTGGAAAGAAATATGATTATTATAATGTTCTTTTTGATAAAAACAAAAAAAATGATTTCTGGACTTATTTTATCATACGAAGTGAGTGTGCTACCAGTCTCGATATTTATTGGTATAATTTTTCGTCAACATTACTTGGAAAATTATTTGAAAAACTTCCTAAAAAGGACAGATTCTTTAAACTGTTGCATGAATATGCAGGAAAATATAAGGAAAATATATAATTCTTGCAGGAAAATAACTTTTCAGTGCCTGTATACATATAGATAGTAGAAAAGTTGTGAGATGGTTTACATTGAAAAGTCAGCATTGACTTGCATTAATTAACCTTTGATTTCAGATCGTTTTCCCATGTATTTTAAGCCCTGCATATAAATTGCTTCATCAATTTTAAAATGATCTTCGTTACATATACCCAGTATTCAACTAAATTAGACATACAGAACACGGGTGTATTAAATGTAAATCAATCTTAAAACACGTAAATGGAAATACCAAATTCATATGGGTGGAAATTGACAAGATACCTGGTAGGTGCATGACGTATTTCACTTAACATTTCCGAATATGTTTTTGAATGGGAATTTAGCATTTTGATGCATTGCAGTCTTTAGATATGCTGTTCCATCTAGCTGTTTTCTACGTTATAAACATGTCTATGCATCATAATTAGTGCATGTCAACCCGTTTTTACGATAAAATGAAATTTGAAGTGTAATTTTATTTTATACTTTCATTTACACCATTATCATTTCTAAGCCATTTTTGATTGATGAATGTATGTAATCTTGTTACGATAGAGTTATGGTGTTTTTGAACTGAATTCCTTCTTATTTTTGTAAGCATACAATACATTTATAAGGTTGAATACAATATTTGGCTGCTAATAATTACTGTATGATGGAAATGGTGATGTATTATTTGTTTTGTGGGTTTCCTGAATAAGAACAGCAATATAAATGTGAGATTTTTATGTCAAATATAATCTCCATCATTCATCTTAATTACTATCTCTGTGGTGACTGCCCAAACCCACAACCATAAATACTACAGGGACACTGGCAGTAAACTATAATGCATATTTATACTACAGTGACACTGGCTGTAAACTGTAATGTTATACTTATAATACAGTGACACTGGCAGTAAACTATAATGCACGTTTATAATACAGTGATCATGACAGCTGGCAGAAAACTATAATGCATATTTATACTACAGTGACACTGGCAGTAAACTATAATGCATACTTATAATACAGTGACACTGGCAGTAAACTACAATGCATATTTATACTACAGTGACACTGGCAGTAAACTATAATGCATACTTATAATACAGCGACACTGGCTGTAAACTGTAATGCATATTTATACTACAGTGACACTGGCTGTAAACTGTACTGTTATATACCATCATTATGGTGTTCCAGTTCTTGGACTGAAAAAAATAAAAATATTTTTTTTATTAAATTTGAAAACTTGAACTTAGATGAGACCACAAAATGGTGTGACTGATAATTTTCAGATTTACAGATTATTTGTATAGTAAAATCAAAAGGACAGTGATATATTTCCCTTGAATACACACCATAGGCAATTTTCGGGCCCATACATAGTGTGTTTATATTTGTTCTGGAAAATTGGAGAAAAAAAAGATAAGGAAACTTACTTTCTACACTTATCACATATAAGGACATGAAGTTTTATTTGATAGTGGCTTCAAGTAGTTTGTTATTGACTTTCTATCAAAGAGTATATGTTCACTGTGTGTAACCTGTTGTCCGTGTTTATAGTTTCAGTGAGAGTTACTTTGCTGTAAAAGGAGCCGTCCTCATCCTTCCTCAGAGTGATGTCACCGATCATACCTACACACAGAAGATCGTACGGGAAAGACATGCAGGTGTCGGCACAGGTAACTCGCACGAAAATACTCCGGAGACTATGACACAATCCAAACTGCCATTGTAGTATGAAGACACATCTGTGACTTCTCATTCTTCATTTAGAAAGTCATTATTGGGGCTAATATTTAAATATTTTTAGCATATAGAAGAAATTTACTTCATCCAAGTTTGTTTTCTGCAAATACTTATTGTTCATAACATATAAATAAATAGGGAGACATTCTTGTCTGTTGATAAAGACATTCTATTCTTTCTCACCTGGCAATGTAAGGTAGAATTTTACCTTGATACGTTAATATAAGAAAAAAATTATTGTATATGAACATGGCATCTAATGCATTGACAATGAGATGACCTCATGCAGGGGCAAGTTTAGGTAATTTATTTTACTGAATTTTATTATACAGTTCAAGTATCTTAAACTGTGATTTATGCTCTTTCCAGTTGTATATATTGTTTAAAAATCAGTTCAGTATTAAAGAAATTTATATTTTGCACAAAATGGTGGCTATTCGTCTTGATGAAATAAATTGGAAAGCAATGTTAGAAAGTAACTCTACCATAATTATGTAGGATAGAAATATCCCACCATTGGAAAAATGATGTATAGGTTCAAAAACCTCAGCAACCCTTGGTTTTTGCCCCAAATTTTGTGCCTACAAGTGGAATATTACTATGATACATATATACATATAATGGAATCAATATTCTTTCAACTTCTGAAGAAGGCTTATTCTATGTTAATAGATACAAGTTCTTTGCTCCGTGTTGTCTTTAGTATCAATAATCTTTGTTTTACAGTCACTGGTGACATACAGAGCCACCTACAGTCCATGTTCTACCTCCTCCGGTCATATGACACGATCAAAGTGGTAAGTATAGAATATAGACATACAGAGCTACCTACAGTCCATGTTCTAACTCCTCCAGTCATACGACACGATCAAAGTGGTAAGTATAGAATAATAGAATATAGACATACAGAGCCACCTACAGTCCATGTTAGTACCTCCTCCGGTCATATGACACGATCAAAGTGGTAAGTATAGAATATATACATACAGAGCTACCTACAGTCCATGTTAGTACCTCCTCCGGTCATATGACACGATCAAAGTGGTCAGGATAGAATATAGACATACAGAGCTACCTACAGTCCATGTTCTACCTCCTCCGGTCATATGACACGATCAAAGTGGTCAGGATAGAATATAGACATACAGAGCTACCTACAGTCCATGGTCTAACTCCTCCAGTCATACGACACGATCAAAGGGGTAAGTATAGAATAATAGAATATAGACATACAGAGCCCCCTACAGTCCATGTTAGTACCTCCTCCGGTCATATGACACGATCAAAGTGGTCAGGATAGAATATAGACATACAGAGCTACCTACAGTCCATGTTCTACCTCCTCCGGTCATATGACACGATCAAAGTGGTCAGGATAGAATATAGACATACAGAGCTACCTACAGTCCATGTTAGTACCTTCTCCGGTCATATGACAGGATCAAAGTGGTAAGTATAGAATAGAGACATACAGAGCCACCTACAGTCCATGTTAGTACCTCCTCCGGTCATATGACACGATCAAAGTGGTAAGTATAGAATATAGACATACAGAGCTACCTACAGTCCATGTTAGTACCTTCTCCGGTCATATGACAGGATCAAAGTGGTAAGTATAGAATAGAGACATACAGAGCCACCTACAGTCCATGTTAGTCCCTCCTCCGGTCATATGACATGATCAAAGTGGTAGGTATAGAATATAGACATACAGAGCCACCTACAGTCTATGTTCTACCTCCTCCGGTTATATGACACGATCAAAGTGATAAGTAAAGAATATAGACATACAGAGCTACCTACAAGTTAAGGGGAGGTTACTGGATATATAAATGCATCAGGATTTGCCCAAAATCTACCTAAATGATAGAAAACTTAATGTTGTGTACTTTTAACACATGGTTTTGTCTACTGGAACAGGCGGTGAAGCTAGAGAGCCAACATGAAGGACATAATCGCTACATGGCCGTCGTTTCATGCTTCGGTAAACAGGACACCGAGGAGTCGGTCATCCTCGGCATTGACTGTAATAAGGAAGCCACCATAGGCCTTGTCCTTCCCATCTGGGCCGACACCAGCGTCAACCTCAACGGAGACGGGTAAGTAATGTGAGACTTAAACTGGTTTTAGGGCACTAGAATATGTAGTTATTTTTGTTATACTGGAACAAAGCAATGTATCGACAATCAGAACAAGGGAGATAATTAGTCAATTAAATTTTATAAAATAAATTTTTTGAAGAATCCCTGGGTCATAACTTTGAAACGGTTAAGATTTTCATCCTAAAAATTTATATACAATTGTTGGGCAAAAAGAGACAAATGCAGTAACTATATTAGAATTGATCCTGGGGTCTGGCCACAACCCTAGGGACCTAGTTTCTGAGTCACAGCTTGGAAACAGTTGAGGTACCCACCCCATAACCATACATAAAATTGCTGGGCATAAAAAATCAAATACAGATATGCTACAAGGATTGGCCTTGGGGTCTGGCATATTCCCTTGGATCTCATTTGGAGAATATTTTGCCATGATTGCTTAGATATCCAGGTGAGCAATATATCCAATATCCAATGTTCCAATTTATCGGGAAACGTATCGCAATACATTACCTCTGTATTTGCAATATATGGTGCTACACTCCAGACACATTGTGACACCCCTATACAGTCACAGGCACATTGTGACACCCCTATACAGTTACAGGCACATTGTGACACCCCTATACAGTTACAGGCACATTGTGACACCCCTATACAGTTACAGGCACATTGTGACACCCCTATACAGTTACAGGCACATTGTGACACCCCTATACAGTTACAGGCACATTGTGACACCCCTATACAGTTACAGGCACATTGTGACACCCCTATACAGTTACAGGCACATTGTGACACCCCTATACAGTTACAGGCACATTGTGACACCCCTATACAGTTACAGGCACATTGTGACACCCCTATACAGTTACAGGCACATTGTGACACCCCTATACAGTTACAGGCACATTGTGACACCCCTATACAGTTACAGGCACATTGTGACACCCCTATACAGTTACAGGCACATTGTGACACCCCTATACAGTTACAGGCACATTGTGACACCCCTATACAGTTACAGGCACATTGTGACACCCCTATACAGTTACAGGCACATTGTGACACCCCTATACAGTTACAGGCACATTGTGACACCCCTATACAGTTACAGGCACATTGTGACACCCCTATACAGTTACAGGCACATTGTGACACCCCTATACAGTTACAGGCACATTGTGACACCCCTATACAGTTACAGGCACATTGTGACACCCCTATACAGTTACAGGCACATTGTGACACCCCTATACAGTTACAGGCACATTGTGACACCCCTATACAGTTACAGGCACATTGTGACACCCCTATACAGTTACAGGCACATTGTGACACCCCTATACAGTTACAGGCACATTGTGACACCCCTATACAGTTACAGGCACATTGTGACACCCCTATACAGTTACAGGCACATTGTGACACCCCTATACAGTTACAGGCACATTGTGACACCCCTATACAGTTACAGGCACATTGTGACACCCCTATACAGTTACAGGCACATTGTGACACCCCTATACAGTTACAGGCACATTGTGACACCCCTATACAGTTACAGGCACATTGTGACACCCCTATACAGTTACAGGCACATTGTGACACCCCTATACAGTTACAGGCACATTGTGACACCCCTATACAGTTACAGGCACATTGTGACACCCCTATACAGTTACAGGCACATTGTGACACCCCTATACAGTTACAGGCACATTGTGACACCCCTATACAGTTACAGGCACATTGTGACACCCCTATACAGTTACAGGCACATTGTGACACCCCTATACAGTTACAGGCACATTGTGACACCCCTATACAGTTACAGGCACATTGTGACACCCCTATACAGTTACAGGCACATTGTGACACCCCTATACAGTTACAGGCACATTGTGACACCCCTATACAGTTACAGGCACATTGTGACACCCCTATACAGTTACAGGCACATTGTGACACCCCTATACAGTTACAGGCACATTGTGACACCCCTATACAGTTACAGGCACATTGTGACACCCCTATACAGTTACAGGCACATTGTGACACCCCTATACAGTTACAGGCACATTGTGACACCCCTATACAGTTACAGGCACATTATGACACCCCTATAAGGTTACAGATAACAGAATTTTCACTTTTAAACCAGAGGTTGTTACTAGGTACTACCCAGCCACAACCTTTTACATCTCACGTCTAGAAGAACATTTAGAAACAGCAGTACTTGTATATGTTTTCACTCTATGTTAACAACTGATCTTATAACAGAATGTATTTCTTGTCTTTCAGAGGGTTTATGGTGAGCTCGGAGGGGAAACAGCACATCTTCAAACCTGTGTCTGTACAAGCTATGTGGTAAGTCTTGATTTAAAACTTGGAATGGGAACATACAAATACTTAAATAAATAAAGAGGCGTACATGATTCTGGTAAATTTTACCCCTTAACCGCCTATATATTCTTCACTCTGTTGAGCTGTGGTGGCCAATTAGTTAAGGCATCTGACTGTCTATGATCACTAGCCCTCCACCACTGGGTCGCGGGTTCGAGGCCTACATAAGACAGTCGCCAGGTACTGGCCATAGGTCGGTGAGTTTTTCTCTGGGAACTCTGGCTTTCCTCCACCACCAAACCTGGCTCATCCTTAAGTTACCGTAGCTGTTAATAGGATGTAAAAAACAAACAAACAAGTCTGATATGTTGTTAACATTTGACAGAGGTTTAAATTTCGCTATTACTCAAACATTGTATTATTTTGAAACTCAGAAAATATATTAAAAACTATCCAACTGTTGTCACATATACAGCTGGTTTGGAATGTTGTCGACTCCCGGCTTTTGTACTTAAGGGCTTTTATTGAACACCTTCTCCTCCTGGGGATTTCCTAGGTCTAGGGGTCAGCCTATAACAGGACAATGAAATAGTATTTGTTTCCATCTCTACTGAACTGCAGTAGACATGGTGGGCCTATTAACAAGCATGGGGTTATTGCTGGATGAAAATCAAAAACATTGTTCGTTACCCTATATGCAATGTATGAATCTGATATACCCTATATGCAATGTATGAATTCGATATACTTTGTGTTGTGTATACGTCTGTGTTACAAAGTCTATGCTGTTGAAGATTTCTTAATTAAATGTGTTCATAAAAGATGTTGTTTTTAGCTTTTAGTTTAGGGTTACGAAGCCAAAATTACGTAAATGTTTTGTGTTTAGGTCGGGGTTACGAAGCCGAAATTATGTAAATGTTGTTTTGTGTTTAGGTCGGCGTTACAGAGCCTACATTATAATGTTGTTTTGTGTTTTAGGTAGGCGTTACAGAGCCTACATTATAATGTTGTTTTGTGTTTTAGGTCAGTGTTACAGAGCCTACATTATAATGTTGTTTTGTGTTTTAGGTTGGCGTTACAGAGCCTACCTTATAATGTTGTTTTGTATTTAAGGACGGCGTTACAGAGCCTACATTATAATGTTGTTTTGTGTTTTAGGTCAGCGTTACAGAGCCTACATTATAATGTTGTTTTGTATTTAAGGTCGGCATTACAGAGCCTACATTATAATGTTGTTTTGTGTTTAGGTCGGGGTTACAAAGCCGAAATTATGTAAATGTTGTTTTGTGTTTAAGGACGGCGTTAGAGAGCCTACATTATAATGTTGTTTTGTGTTTAAGGACGGCGTTAGAGAGCCTACATTATAATGCTGTTTTGTGTTTTAGGTCGGCGTTACAGAGCCTACATCATAATGTTGTTTTGTATTTAAGGTCGGCATTACAGAGCCTACATCATAATGTTGTTTTGTGTTTAGGTCGGGGTTACAAAGCCGAAATTATGTAAATGTTGTTTTGTGTTTAAGGTCGGCGTTACCGAGCCTTCATTATAATGTTGTTTTGTATTTAAGGATGGCGTTACAGAGCCTACATTATAATGTTGTTTTGTGTTTAAGGACGGCGTTACAGAGCCTACATTATAATGTTGTTTTGTGTTTAAGGTCGGCGTTACCGAGCCTTCATTATAATGTTGTTTTGTATTTAAGGATAGCGTTACAGAGCCTACATTATAATGTTGTTTTGTATTTAAGGACAGCGTTACAGAGCCTACATTATAATGTTGTTTTGTATTTAAGGACAGCGTTACAGAGCCTACATTATAATGTTGTTTTGTGTTTAAGGACGGCGTTACAGAGCCTACATTATAAGGTTGTTTTGTGTTTTAGGTCGGCGTTACAGAGCCTACATTATAATGTTGTTTTGTGTTTTAGGACGGCGTTACAGAGCCTACCTTATAATGTTGTTTTGTGTTTTAGGTTGGCGTTACAGAGCCTACATTATAATGTTGTTTTGTATTTAAGGACGGCGTTACAGAGCCTCCATTATAATGTTGTTTTGTGTTTTAGGCTGGCGTTACAGTGCCTACATTATAATGTTGTTTGGTATTTAAGGACGGCGTTACAGATCCTACATTATAATGTTGTTTTGTATTTAAGGACGGCGTTACGGAGCCTACATTATAATGCTGTTTTGGGTTTTAGGTCGGCGTTACAGAGCCTACATTATAATGTTGTTTTGTGTTTTAGGTCGGCGTTACAGAGCCTTAACAAGGTGGTGAAGATCTCCAGAGATAACATGTACATTCCTCGCGGCCTTACTCATACCTGGGTGGGTTATTACAACTCCCGTATTCACTCCGACCGCGCCTGTATATCAGAATGGTAGGTCACGGCCTCGCGGCCTTACTCACACATGGGTCAGTTATTACAGCTTCCGTATTAACTCTGACCGCTCCTGTATATCAGAATGGTAGGTCACGGCCTCGCGGCCTTACTCACACATGGGTCAGTTATTATAACTCCCGTATTCACTCTGACCGCTCCTGTATATCAGAATGGTAAGTCTCGGGCCCCCGGCCTTACTCACACCTGGGTCTGTTATTACAACTCCTGTATTAACTCTGACCGCTCCTGTATATCAGAATGGTAAGTCTCGGGCTCCCGGCCTTACTCACACCTGGGCCAGTTATTACAACTCCCGTATTAACTCTGACTGCTCCTGTATATCAGAATGGTAAGTCTCGCCTTCGCGGCCTTACTCACCCCTGGGTCGGTTATTACAACTCCCGTATTAACTCTGACCGCTCCTGTACATCAGAATGGTAAGTCTCGGGCTCCCGGCCTTACTTACACCTGGGTCAGTTATTACAACTCCCGTATTAACTCTGACCGCTCCTGTACATCAGAATGGTAAGTCTCGGGCTCCCGGCCTTACTTACACCTGGGTCAGTTATTACAACTCCCGTATTCACTCCGACCGCTCCTGTATATCAGAATGGTAGGTCACGGGCTCCCGGCCTTACTCACCCCTGGGTCAGTTATTACAACTCCTGTATTCACTCCGACCGCGCCTGTTTATCAGAATGGTAAGTCTCGCCCTCGCGGCCTTACTCACACCTGGGTCAGTTATTACAACTCCTGTATTAACTCTGACCGTGCCTGTATATCAGAATGGTAAGTCTCGCACTCGCGGCCTTACTCACACCTGGGTCAGTTATTACAACTCCTGTATTCACTCCGACCGCGCCTGTTTATCAGAATGGTAAGTCTCCGCCTCACGGCCTTACTCACACCTGGGTCAGTTATTACAACTCCTGTATTCACTCCGACCGCGCCTGTATATCAGAATGGTAAGGCTCGGGCTCCCGGCCTTACTTACACCTGGGTCAGTTATTACAACTCCTGTATTAACTCTGACCGCGCCTGTATATCAGAATGGTAGGTCACGGCCTGGCGGCCTTACTCACACCTGGGACAGTTATTACAACTCCCGTATTAACTCTGACTGCTCCTGTAGATCAGAATGGTAAGTCTCGGGCTCCCGGCCTTACTTACACCTGGGTCAGTTATTATAACTCCCGTATTAACTCTGACTGCTCCTGTATATCAGAATGGTAGGTCACGGCCTCGCGGCCTTACTCACACCTGGGTCAGTTATTACAACTACCGTATTAACTCTGACTGCTCCTGTATATCAGAATGGTAAGTCTCGCCCTAGCGGCCTTACTCACACCTGGGTCAGTTATTACAACTCCTGTATTAACTCTGACCGCGCCTGTATATCAGAATGGTAAGTCTCGGCCTCGCGGCCTTACTTACACCTGGGTCAGTTATTACAACTCCTGTATTGACTCTGACTGCTCCTGTATATCAGAATGGTAAGTCTCGCCCTCGCGGCCTTACTCACACCTGGGTCAGTTATTACAACTCCTGTATTCACTCCGCCCGCTCCTGTATATCAGAATGGTAAGTCTCGCCCTCGCGGCCTTGCTCACACCTGGGTCAGTTATTACAACTCCCGTATTAACTCTGACCGCTCCTGTATATCAGAATGGTAAGTCTCAGCCTCGCGGCCTTACTTACACATGGGTCAGTTATTACAACTCCTGTATTCACTCCGACCGCTCCTGTATATCAGAATGGTAAGTCTTGGCCTTACTCACACCTGGGTCGGTTATTACAACTCCTGTATTAACTCTGACTGCTCCTGTATATCATGCACTTAGAATTTCATGCACTAAGTTATGAAAATGATATTCAATATCATTTTGTAATTTTAATCAACAATCACATTGAAATTTTGTTACATGAATATTTGGAAATTTTATTAAAAAAAAAAAAAAAAGTTGCAAAGAGGTAACCATAATCCTGATATATTCATAAAATTTGTTAAAAATAATGTTGATATGCATTATGACTATAGTCAAAATAGATATGTTTTTATGTTTCAAAGGTTTACCTCAGAAGAACTTGAAGACTGGCGGTCGTGTAACGTCTTGTTCATGGATCCGTGAGTACAACTGCTACATCCACTACACTACTGTAATAGTTTTCGAGTGAAACCAGCTTAAAGATTCCTGTCCCACTGCACTGTGCATTTTTCCTGTATACCGTAACCTCCCCTTCACCTCAGTTAGGATATAACTGTACCACTATTGGGCCATGATACTTCTGTTGACCAGATAGCTTAATCAGGTCAAGTAATGGTATAACGATATGTCGAGGGTACAAATCCCTGGTACGCCCCCTCTAAATTTTTACTCTCGGAACACTGTTGTTGATTATATTTTGTTTTTATCATCTTTACTATTTCTCATAAAAGTCCAGCAAGGTAGTGTTTTTTCTTTAGAAATGTTTCATCAAAGCCATAGTCATGTCGGAGAAAAATGGTTTCCAATACTTAGTTACAGTTTTTGGGCAGTTTAAAAAGTGTGTTAAAAAGTAATATTGTGATAAACAATGCATATGCGACTCTTTTTTACCTTAGAGGTGACAGTCCTGACGATGTCCTACAGAAAAAGATCAAGACCGAGCTTAAGAACATCATGATGACCGTTGACCTGGACGAAGTCACCTCCATATTTGTAAGTTTCAAAATCTTAGTCAATTCAATGTGACTTTCCCTGTGCTAGAGTACGATGACTGCCATTGCTGTCTCCTGTCAGATTGTATCTGTTCCTTTAATTTGTTCACCCCTGAACTTTTATAATGAACTGTTCCAACCTTTGAATTGGAGGGGTTCAAATGTGTCTTGAGGGGTGAATGAGTTAAGCCTGGGATACTGTTAAAACTATTCAGTATCCTCCCTCCTTATCCCCCTCACCTGAAAATCAGCTGTTAAGACAGAGATAGGACACGGAGATCGCTTCAGCTCTGCGTCTTGTTGCAGTTTGCATAAGATTACATTAGATTTGATGTTTTTGATGCAAAAATAACTGCCCTAAAATTGGTGGCACCACTTTGAGAGGTACAAGTCAAATGTTTCTAAAACCAAATTTGTATATTGTAGAAAATGTTTTGCAGGTCAATATAATGACAGACAAATATTCAGTCTGCAATGTATGATTAAAATGATGATTTTCTAAATAATCTTTATTTTTTTGCCTTAAAATATCCGAAACTATTTTCAATTAGCATAAAGTGCCCTGGTGGTGTTGTTGACACATGTCAAATAGTGCAAGCATGGTGGTTCATTTCTAACTACTGTCACGCTTGTAATTAGGGACCCTCCTCGGGATGTCCGAAATATGGTCCCTAAAGATGGTTAAAGTTTAATTCGTAGAAGATATCTTCCAGTGTCTTTAGTAAAACCAAATATGTTTCACAAGCGTGGCTAATATTTTGATATTTTTGACGAGTGCACAGCAAATGTATGGTCGGGGTGCTTTAAGAAGAGAAAAAATTGTATTCCTCATTATCTGAATGTACCATCTATCAGTTTCATATATTTTTCAGTCTTTTCTTTTAACCCTTTCGCCCCTAGATAACTTCAGTAGACTCTACCATACATTTATCTGGCGAGTCCATTATGGTCCACAGTGGTGAAAAGGTTAATTACAAAACGAACCACTGTGGTCTGATGGGATTCCCACAGGGTTTATCACTCAAAGAATCTAGATAATACTTGGCTCTGTGTGTCCGTAGCTACGGGAGGCTCTGGAGGAGAAGTTAAAGCTGAACCTGAAGAGCCACAAGCAGTTTGTGGAACAGGAAATGATCACCATCATGGGTCTGATGGACTCCCCCACCATGATCAAAGACTTCCTCTTCCTGGGATCAGAGTTTAACGCCTCTAATCTGGAGGAACTGACGGAGAATGGGTATGTAAGAGTTAGGAATTGATGGTACCAAACCAGGGCCTGTTTTCATGAAACCGTTCTCATGCGCAAGATGAGTTTTGTGCTCTAGCTTGATTTCTTGTTTAAATTATAAATTAACGATTTTTTTTTTTTTTACAAGATTTGGAAAACAATTGAAGAGACTAAAAGCCAATTTCTGTTTTCTGAATGAAGGGAGAAATACTGTTTTAGTAATTTTGTTTTGCAAGAGAAGGGGAAAGAATATTGGCTAATAGGAGGAGACATATGTTTTTGTTCCCAAAAAAAACATTTTAACAAAGACATAGTTCAGAACATTGCTTTCAGAATATACATATGGAGTCTTGCGATAATATTAGTCATTTATACACTTCAGGGTGGATCACATACTCAATATTAGCCGTGAGGTCGACAACTTTTTCCCGGAGATTCTAACGTACATGAACATCAAGGAGTGGGACAATGAGGAGGCGGACTTGTGTAAACACTGGGACGACACTAACAAATTCATCGCCAAGGCCAGGTAAGTTAAATTATGGAATTACCGTATTCTGCAATAAGCCCAGGCTGACACATAAACTTGAACTAAAAGTAGGGGGTGGGCTTATGGCAGGACCATGAAATAGCACTTGTTAGCATTTCATCTGAACTGTATTTGACATAGGTGGGCTTATTACCATACATGGGCTTATTGCCGGATAAATATGGTATACCGTATACAGGGATATTTTTGTCAACATCTGTTATTAGGGCAAATTTATCATGATGGTGAAAATAAACACGCAATATATCATTCTTATCAATAACATGTGAAAACAGATTTTACCAGTGAAGGGCGAAAAATTGACTGGGTGAAAGTTTTCCCGATATACAGTACCTATATTGTGCCATGTATAAATATCCTCAGAAAGTTCACTTTTCTTGCTGCTGTTTATAGGGACATCTGAACTTTGACCTTTATTGTAGCAGCATTGCCAATGAAGTCCTGACCTTAGCACTCCAGGGGTTTCGCTCACTTTCGCTCTCTTCACCCCTGGAATCTGTCTAAGTAAAATCTGTGGCTCAGTGTGACGCATCTTGTGGATGAGACGAGCAGACTAGTTTGATCCTTTGACGTTAACAGAATTTCAGGGTCGCATAACGGTAAAATTGACTGGCTTTGAAGTCCAGAGTCTCTCCTCTGTAATCTTTAAAGGACAGGTATCAGCCTAGTGATTGGTCAGGCTTTATTACCCGAGACCAATCAAATAGCTAGCTGTGTGCCTTCAATTTTTTAATGACAAATTCCAGGAGGGAGGGGAGNAGGGGGGGCAGAGAGCAAAAGTGAGCAAAACCCCTGGTGTATCGAGGACGCAGTGAAGTCCACACTGAGTATATTCCCTGAATTACATACAAACAAAAATTCCATAGTGTACATGTCAAATTTTTAAGTCATCTTTAAGCCACAGGAGATTATGTGTTTGCCGTTTAGGCATATTTAAGGTGTGGTACTAACAATGTCCACTTTTATAGTAAATTAATAATAAGCATAATTTTTTTAGTTACATGGCATATTTTTTATTTCAGGAGGGAGAATTCCAAAGTGCTGGTCCATTGTAAGATGGGGATTAGTAGATCGGCGTCTACCGTAAGTATCCGTCTTGTACTTCATCTGTCAACGTCTTCATTCGTTGTCATAAAACACATGTAGAGCAGAAGTCAAACTACAGTTTACTTAGTATCTAGTGCATACGTGCCAACATTTTGACATTTCTGTGGCGGAGATTTGATGTGCTTCAAATTAAGCATTAAACAAAATGTGTTGGTATATAACCCTAGGTAAAAAATAACATTTTGTAACAGCATCTTTTGAGTTGTTCTTCCGGATAAAATCATAAGATCTTAGAATACTGGCCTAGTTCAGCAAGTTTACTGGCCTAGTTCAGCAAGTTTACTGGCCTAGTTCAGCAAGTTTACTGGCCTAGTTCAGCAAGTTTACTGGGTGAAAATGTTCAGTTTTAGGGTTCAAAATCGAGAGTCTTGCTCCAAAATAGGGAGAGTCAGCAAGTACACTGATATAACAACAAGATTATCGAAAACCACAGTTCAATGGTGGAGATTGAAGACAAACAAATATAAGATTAACATTCAATTAAAAACAATGCATGTTCTGGGAAGATATTTATTTCACCCTAATTAGCTATTGTAGACTTGTCTATCTATTGTTACGGGTGAGTCCAAAGAGTTGTATGGGGAGGAAAGGGTGTAACTTATTCCGATGTTTGTTTCAGGTGATGGCGTATCTGATGAAGGAGTACGGCATGTCAAGACGGGAAGCTTATGACTTTGTAAAGGCCAAAAGGGCCTGCGTCATGCCGAACCAGGCGTTCTGGGCTCAGCTACTCATATATGAAGGGATACTTAATGCTAGGTAAATGACTTATAGGTACTCGTTCTAGGATTAAGGGGACAATACCCAAAATAGATCACCAAACCATAAATTTATTCATTCATTGAAAATTTAGAGGATAAATTATATTTACTTATGTTTTATATCCAAAGAAGAATACCGGTGGAATTTCTTAAAATTAAAATTAGCACTTAGGGCTCGCGTGAGATATTTGAAGAACACTCTGATGTTATCAACTAGTTTTCCCATATTTTCCAAGTATCATTACCCGAAACAGATCACTGTGAGTATAGCAAAATGTTCCTTTTTTGAGAAATTTAACATCTATTTTAAGTTGCTGTTTGGATTATCAAGGTTTTCTTGTAAATAATTCTTGACAAAAAAATGAAACAACTTCACATTGAAAGATTTTCAGCACACAGCCGGCTAATTTGTTGAATATTTCATCCGGAAATCGATGGAAAACATTCAGTGATTTGGTCATTAAGATGCCCACCTTACAAATTTAAGAAATTATACACACAGACACCAACCAAAAACTTGTTGCTATATGGTAATTAAATCTCAATCTGGACTTTTGAAATGCTTTACATATGCCCTGAACTTCATTATTACATTGGTTACGTTTCAGTAAACAGAGAGCGCTATTTAAGAGTAAATCGGAGCAGAACCTGATCCCTACCTATCCTACTGTGAAGGAGGAAGAGGAGGAGGAGGAAATCCTGATGAAGGGCCACAGATTGATTAAGGATGACCTGTGTCTTCCCCTCCTACCTCCTCACGACGTTCTCCATGACAGCGTGTTCCTCCGGGGTAAGTTGGACCAGTGTCGGCTCAGTAAGTCACTGTTGCCTAAATAATTCTCACGGAAATGAGAGTAACTGTCAGTTGGAACTTTTACAGAAAATTTCATTATGAAATGGATTGATTTGTTTTTGTTCAGGTTTTGAACATTTGAATGCGAAGAAACATCCAATGCTTTGTATCTTTGTTAGGGTTTGAAAATATCAGGAGATGTCACTATCATGTACTATATACCTGTAGGTTTTTAGGCTGGACCTACTTCAGTAGGTCTGCGCCAATTGTTATCCTAGATTTGCTTGCAGTCATCTACCGAATCCTGTCCAATGATTGGCTGAATTTTGCGACTTTCAGCTGTATACAGTAGTACTTGCAGTAGTACTGTACTTGCAGTAGTACTGTACTTGCAGTAGTACTTGCAGTAGTACTTGAGTGCGACAAAACAAATAACACAGTCATATGTATGTCATTACAGACAAGGATAAGGACATCATGTTTGACCTTGAGAGCAGTTCCCGGAGTGCCGACTCGACGGAGGAGTCTCTTGACCTGCCGTCACCCAAGGCAGACGCTGTCGTGAAGTCCACAGCTTATGGTGTGTACGTTATAGAGAGTAACAAGCTTTCGCCGGGTGACGGGCCAGACACCGACACGTCAAGTCTGTCCGAGGAGGACATGGACTTCGGCGAGACGGACACGGACAATCTCTACGATAAAGACTCTCAGTTGGAGAGAGATCAATCTCAACTATCGGCAGCTATCAAATTTAAGCCGGACCATAGTTGGATTAAGCAACATGCTGAAACCCTTGATGAATCTGATGCAGGGGACGAGTTTACGGACAATCAAGATATGCCAATGTCTGAATCTGTGTCAGTTGATGATGCTGAGGGAATCGTAACTGCTGAACAACCTATAGTGTCTGAAACAAAGACATCAATGGAGGCAGAAGACACAAATTCATCCGAAATCCCGCCTGACACCACGCCATCTGTGGCTGATGACATCACAGACACAGCGAATGCGTCACCCACTGGAGTGGAGCTGGGTGTCCGGTGTCATTATATCAAAGAAAACATCCCGTGGAATCCAGGTACTGTGAAAAAACAGCTACAGGACTTCGAGGGCAAGACCAAGGAGGTACAAGAAGATACAGACTCAGGAAATGAGGAGGAGGTAAAAGTTGATCCAGTAGCGACAGATTTTAAGGTGTCGGAAGATGCGGCTCCAGCGGAGAAGGTGACTGGCACGCCTGTGAACTGTAACACTACTGAACAGGACAAAGTGGACCCTGAGGTAGAAGACAAGCCTCCACTCAAACGATCAGCTTCTGTGTATGAGATAGAGGATATAACCCTCCCAGCAGGCATCGTCAAAAAGACCACCCAGGAGATTGAGGACCGGAACTTGTAAGTCAAAATTTATAAGCCCCCCCAAAACTTTATAGGAAAAAAGTGGGGAGGGGGGCATATAATGTTATCATGTTATTATTGTGTATGATAGTGCTAGCTCATTCACCCCTACATATTTAAACTGGACTTGCCCAGTCTATGATTTGGTAAGATTCAAATGTGACTTTAGGGGTGAATGGGCTAAGAGCGTTAGGCTACTTCCAAAATCAGTAACAGTAATGTTGGGAATTGGTTAAATTTTAAAGATTGATTACCTTACACCTTAATTTAACTAATTATCAATTAATAATTGTTTTTAAAGAAGTACGACTTAAAATCTCCTATGCTGTTTTTGACAGTCACTTATGCAAGTAAAAGGCAATACCATGTGAGAACCATGTACATGCCTCCCGTTGAACACCATATCTGTAATTTATAGTCCTGTGTAGCCATGATTGGGCTTCAACGTGAAAGTGAGTCAGTGACAGTGCCAACACAAATATCAGGAAATGTCTGCCACTTAACTGATGTTAGTATCTAGCAAGAGATGGGCATGCATTCATGAGTTGCTCAACTAAAACCTCCATTATGATAGTAATCTACACATGATTATTCTGACTAAAATCACACATGAATTCTGAAGTCGATTAATCAGTTTTTGACCAAATTGACCAATAGTTGTCCGAGTCAATCAATCAGATTACCACTGAAAATCGGTAGGGTCAACTGATTTGAGAGTAAGTTTGGTTATACAGTAACGGCATAATTATCCTTTTCTGACATAATTTATGATTGTTAACTTAACTCGTTCATCCCTGAATTTTAACATTAGACTGTCCCATTCACTGTTTGGAAGAGTGTAAATGTGACTTCAGGGGTCCATGGAATGCTTAAGTGCCCTGAGCGCTAAATACAACGAATACAGTCTCTGTAAATAATGTACAAACTAAACACTACTTTTTAAAATAAACATGACATAACATTGTGCCAATTCAAAATAAATTCTGCGATTTATAGATCATACACACGTTTGGGAATGTTTGTTATTGCAGACAAAGCGACAGTTCTCCTGAAAGTCCCCACCAACCTCTACAGCGGTCATCCAGTTTGAAGGAGGAGCGGGTAACACCTAAACGTAAACGATCAGAGCGACGGAAAACCTGTACTCCCATCGTGACTCCAAGCCCTTCCCCCACGGCAACTCCAGGGTCTACCCCACGATCTTCACATGATACAACTCCCTCTGGTGAGAACAGAGAATTTGTTTTCCCCTTAAAGAAGGAAGCAAAGAGCTCTGATGAAGGGCAGACAACTGAGACGGGCGAGAGCCAGGGGGAGGATGTAGCAGTGTACAAGTGGGGTACGGAGGAAGTCCCCGTGGAGAAGGGTATCGTCAAAAAACAAAAAATGGGTGAGTTAGTAAAACATTTCATAGAGATAGCTATATACCTTGGTAAATATAACAAATGAAAAAATATATAAAAATGAAATAGGAAGCAGAAAATGTTCCAACATACTATGGCCTTTATTTCATTCACCCCTACATTTTTAAACTGGACTTGCCCGGTCTTTGATTTGGTAGGGTACAAATGTGACTTTAAGGGTGAATGGGTTAAGGATCCCTATCCCATTGCCAAACCCTAAAGCTATGCAATGGAAACCACTCGTTTTTGGCATGTGAACAACTTTGACAAATTATTTCTGAAAAGAAAACAATAACTTTTAAGAAAAAGTAATAAAGATGAAATAAAAAACAATAAAAACAGCAGTAGTGTTTTGTGTGTAAAATTTTAATGGGTTTAGTCAAGGATTTAAATCCTGGACTTCAGAATGTTCAACTGAGTTAATTCATCAACAGAAGTGTCCTGGGCCAACTGTGCTACAAAACATACAAAACCAAATTAAGGGGAGGTTACTCTATGTACGAAAAATTGAAGAGCAGTGGGACAGGGATCCTTAAACTGTGATATTTACTCTCTTCTGGCATTGGTATAATTATAAAGTTTTCATAAAATTATAATGATGGCATTGGATACCGCTGAACCCTAGCTAATAATCTATTTGTCAAAATAAAACGAAGATTAAAAGAAAATTTTAATTTAACTATGGAACTTTTGTTGATATCAGCATTTAACTGCTTTTCATTTTTCATTTCAACAAATTTTGTCATAGATTGAACAAGGCTGTGTAAATTCTCTTTGTAAAAGCTTTTAAAAGGCAATCATAATTGATATAAATGTCAACTGCATAGTATTAACTCATTCACCCCTAAAAACACATTTGAACTCTTCAAATTCAAAGGTTGGAACAGTTCATTATGAAATTTCAGAGGTGAATGAATTCAAGTTAAATTGCTTGAAACATGCAAGGTCTTTGTTAAATCTACTCAGTTTCATGCTTGACTGTTGTAGATATTGAACAAAAGGCGAGGGATCGACAAACGTCAGAGAGTCGCACACCCGACTCGGACAAAGACGTAGAGGGAATAATTTTGTCCAACAAAGCTGATGATACCAAAGACATTTCTGGTGCTTTTAAGTGTAAACCCACTGTGCCTACATCCATAGACATTCCGAAGGTGACGGACACAGGAAATAGAGGACAAGTGCATTCTGGGAAGGATGATACTCAAAACTTTTTAAAAGCTAGTACATCACAGCTTTCGACCTCCCCAGTGTCTTCGAGAGATTCTGTAAGTCCCTCGTCTCCTCTAGTGAGGAAGAAGCACAAGACGAGTGTTGATCTTGATGACAGCGGGAGATTTGATTCTGAAACCTTGGAACTCATTCGTGAAATAGGCTCGGCTTTCCTCAACAGTCCGGCAAAGACAGAGAAAGAGAAAGAAATCAGTGAACAAGAGGCGCTAGAAGGGGGCAGCCTCGTGAAATTCTTGGTCAGAAATATCGAGAAAACGACAGGTGTGACCAAGAAATCACATTTGAAGGAGATAGTGATAATAGAAAAAGACACTGCAGCAGCTCAGCAGGAAAAGAAGAAAAGGTTGTGGCGTTACAGTAATCCAGCTGTTGAGCCATTGACCCCACCAGGTGACAGACCCCGAGTCACCCACTCACATAGTAGCCCTGCGTTAGATGTCCCTGCTAAACACAAGGATGGAACTGTGCCACCCGGGGGTGCCCTGACCCCATCTTCGCCCCTTAAAGTTGATCCCTCCCTATTTCGAATAACTGCTGATACCACCAATACTCAATCCACAACATCTGTGATAGAACCCAAAGAGACTCCGGAGAACAATGCTGAGGGGACGGTGAAGGAGAAAGTAAAAGACTTGGTGGGCAAGTTTGAGCTCCCAGAAACTGTTAACACCCCAGGGTTGAAGGAGGTCACACCTACCGAGGAAGAACTCACAATAGTGTTGAAGGAAATTGACAATAGTAAATCTACAAATACGAAATCCCCTGTCTCTACTGAGTCAGATAAAGTTGACAGGTTGTCCAGCACTTCAGAGAGCGATGCCACTACCCCGGAGGAAGAAGACCTTGAAGGGGAACAATCTATGTCGGAACAATCAATACAGCTGCGCCATCTACGGCAAAACCTACGCAAGGCAAACGACCGGCCTAAATCTGCTGAACATATGCGGAGGAGCAATAGTACCACACCAGAGGGAGCAACCCCTCAGAGGCCACGTCTCAGACACGCAAACACTCTGCCCAGCCCTGTTGAATTTGGGCCATCAACATTTTCGTGGGAGGGTAAGAAAGTGAGAAAATTACATGGCAAGTCCCATCCGTTGACAAAGCTGGAAACGAGGAGAGCAAGTCCGTTTTACAACACTATGTGATTTTATGTTATTTTATGTAAGTTATCCCACCAAGTGTCTGTTTGCCGTAGTGTAATTGTGTGTCCTTGACGTTTCAAAGCAAACAGGTGATTAATGAGATGTGTGTGTGACCTTGTGATAATGTGAAGGTCACAGACGGACGTGAGGGACTCGCTGCCTGCGCTGGGTGTGTAGTATAGGGCAGGGCTTGGTAATTAGACTCTGGTTAGTTCAACACTGCATATATATGTAATATGCGATATCGTACAGATACAACTTTCTGTAACCACAGGGCAACAGATATAATCGTGATTACTCTATATATATATATGCTTACTGCAGCTATCACGAATATTTTTTTGGTAATTTTACGTAAAATACCTAAAAGTCTATTTATAAGACAGAGTTGTCTGTAAGAAAAAACATGTATTTACAGTCAACCTGCTCAGGAGACCACCTCCATTAAGAGACCACCTGTGTTAAGAGACCACCTGTGTCAAGAGACCACCTTTTAGGACTTCTCAAGGATGGTCCCTATATACAAGTTTGACTGTATATCGTTTAGAAAATTGACAATAACCTGTGCACAAAATGACAGATTCACAATATACGGTCACCACTACTAAATTCCAAAGAGACAAATTGTCCAACATGAGTAATTCAAAGCTGTCCAAGGAACGTCCACTGTAGAATGAAAGTTTTAAGATTAAATGGTGAGTTTTGATATCTTAACCAGGGATAAACCTGACACATTGACCCTTCAAAACTCAAAACTGAAATTGACCCCTCCATGTTCCACCTTTTGTTTAATTCTACATAGAATGGCCACTCTTAATTTTGATAATGACTTAAAATTGCTGAAAATTGCCCACTGCTCTCAAATTCCAGGATTTCCCCTGCTTAACTGTTGAGTGGTATCTAAAAAAATCAACTTTATTTGATAAAGGTATTTTAATATATCAAACCTGGTGTCTTTTTCATTCATGGAAACACAATATATGGAAATATTCTATCAAAATGAAGGTATTACTTGTGATGAATGTTGATTATTAAGATACAGTGTTGAACTAATGCGATTTTAACAGGAGACCAAGTCGACTTCTTCCATTCCATAACAGGCTCTACTTCATCTCTCCTAGTAGAGCTTACATTGCTGTATTCCGTCTTTGCGTATTGCAGAGTTATCTTCTCTTGTGAGCAGGTATTGATTCTTACGTCATTGGTTTGTGTGAGAAAATTACGTCGTTTTCTCAAAAATTGATGACGTACGTTACTCTCACAAACAAATGACGTAACAATCAATAACTGCTCACAAGAGAAGATAACTCTGCAGTACGAAAAGACGGAATAGTTCTATCATGTACTCTTTGTTTACTACAAATATCATTACTATATCGCTACTAACATAACTTGATCGTCTCGGTATTTGTGTGTGCTGATGTTTGAATAATATTTAGAGCTTGGCTACTGAAGTATTTTCGGGACTGTTCACGCTAACTAATTTTCCATCAGTTTTTGTTTTAAAAAAATTGAAGTGCCGAATATACCCAAATTGGCTGCTAATGTAAGTGTTGTTCTGTTAAAATTCAGCGAGATTAATCAGAGAAATGTCGATGATTCACTATATATGTGACGATACTGACATGAAGAACAAATAGTGAGTTGTCGAATTGGTCAAGAATTGTAGTTGAAGTATTTTTGTGACCAATCTTGATCCCAGCCAGGTTTACTTGTTGAAAAAAGTAAGATTTGCAGAGAAAAAATGGCATAATTTCATCTTCGCTGTATTGGGGAAAACTGCAAGCTTTTTTGTATGTATTGTTTTAATAGTCTTAACTGATTTAACCACAGACCAGCTATTTATGAATATTTTAAAAGTTCAAAGCATTATTTAATTATACAACTTAGATATATACAAACATAAACACAATCTATGACTGTTCATTACTTTATTTACCAATATAGTTGTCACCAAATCGTATCATGAAATGAGGGTAAACACATTGTACAGTTGTAGACCTGACCATACCTTAAATTTCTTTCTGTAGGTCTGTTTTTTCGGCACAGACATAGCTACACAAGACAGTCACCATGTCATTAGTTTCTAAGCTTCCGTGTACATCAGTGTTGTTATAAAATCTCTGTGATAAGCCCATGCTCACTGATAAGCCCACCCCCTTGGTAATTGAAAAATACCAGAAATAAGCCCATCTCCTTGTTCAGCATATTTTTATTTGTGAAAGACCTACTCTCTGTAATATTACTCTCACTCCATCATTAACATATTTAAACAGTAAACAGCCCACCCAATGTAAGACATATATTACTACTAAACCAACACGCTCAGTAGCAAGCCCTGGTTCAACAAAGCCACATATGAAAATAGACATTTTCCATATATATATTGTATAGGGTTTAACTCATTCACTCCTGAAAACACATTTAAACTCTTCACATTCAAAGGTCAGAATAGTTCATTATGAAATTTCAGGGGTGAATGAGTTAATTTGAGAAAAATCTCATTGATCAGTGCTCTTTACAATTTAGCCCTTCTTGGCCTTTTACAGGTAAAGAATCGGAAATAACTTATTACAGATTTTCGCCTTATACAACCGACTTGCTTATTCTGGGTCATTGGCCCACCACAAGCTGACAGAACATATGTTCAGAAAAGACAAACTCATTTAATACAGCCTAGTAAACCTGTCTTGTATAGAAATTATTTGAAATAGCACAAAACTAAAAGATTATTTTGGCGGGCTTTCACAGTTATGATAGAATTCACATTGGTGGACATACAGAATTAAAAACCACAGCTCTAACTGAACTACCTGAAACTTTTCATATGTGGATTTTTGATAGAATATTTTCGTTGAAATGTCTAACCAGGTCTCTCGTTTACTACATTTGTTTATTTGCAATTTCAGACATAACTCACTGAACACGAATGGTTGTCAATAAGACGCCATCGACCAAACAGGAGTAAATATTCGTTTCACTCTGCTTTGGATTTTTACTTCAGTATGATGGTGTAGCTTCAGAACTTCTAATAATAATAATAATAATATTAATAATAATAAATAATGATAATAATAATAATATTCAACATTTGATATAGCGCCCTATCTAGCTAACATACGCCACTCTAAAGCACTCTTAATCAATACATTTTTGAGGAATTTGCAGGAGCTGCCTTATCAGTCGATAACTATACTAGTCCTGGCTGATATCTCTCTATTTGTGTATGCCTCCTGCGTGTGGCATGTGACCAAAAAACAACCTGTGTTTTTACAATATCTTAAATAGATAGATAAAATGGCAGTCTTTTGAAATTTATTTGAATACACATTATATGAATAATTGTCATGGAAATTCACATACATTGAAAATGTTCTGGTATTGTTATTAGATGTCATTGCACATGAAAATTGTTTGTTATACATTAATTGTAAATTTTGTTAGCATGATGTGACAAAAGCCCCTTAACTTATGACATATGACAACATTAGCTGAATTGGAGAAATGCGAATTTTTGTTTGCAACTTGAACAATGTTGATTTTTGTGTGTTGATTTTGATATTTTCTTGATTTAATTGTTTGTATGTTTTCTGGAGATCACTAAGTGAATTTTGTGTTTGACTATCACATCTGTTATCTTTGATAAGATTCATCAATTTGGAAATATGTAAATATAAAAGTTTTACTTTATACACAAACAATGTACAGATTAAACATGTCGCAACCTTTCAAGACCATGGTAGACAGGAGAGAGTGTTAGATCTACACCCTACCAGTAACCTAGCTATTCAATACAGTGTGTATACGCTCTCTATCAATATGCCAAACCTCCCCGGTCGAGTGACATATGAAATTTACATGTTTCGTCATATCATTGTACAGATATAAACGATATAAATCGCTTACGCAGTCATAGCTTGACAAAGGGACCAGTCAGTTACGACACGTTAAATACGTACATTGTTTGTGTCAAACGTAAAACAATTGATAGCATTTCTGTTGCCGCACATTTAATAGTAAGGCTTTGTCAGTCACACATTTTATGAATATGCATAGTTTCACAAAAAAATCTAAGCAATAATTAAAATTCATGATGAAAAATACTACATGTACAGTAGTTTCTTTAGGTTTCATTTTTAAGAAATATTCATGATTCTTTTTCAAATTCGTGAATTACGTTTTCAGAGAATTAAAATATAACCAAGTCATTTACATTCTTTATAGTACTGTGAACATTTTTTTACCTGCTGTTATTTTTATTTTTCCATAGTTCACTTTAAAATTTGCATATCTACATTACAATTCTGATTGTGAAGAGATTCTGATTGCGAAGAAAATAGTTCTGTTGTTGCAGCATTTTAACGGACCGGAAATTCTGATTCTCAGTTAGGGTTGCTTTTGTGTGAAATTATACTGTTGGATCTTGAATTCTTCCATAAATAATGCTATCAGTTCAAATTATCATATTTTTCAGCAATTTTCATACCTTAACAATGCTTAATTTTTTTCTAGAGGTGAAATTATGAACTAGTATTTTGTAGAAGTGAAAATCTGAACTAATATCTTGGTTAAGGGAAAAAAATATTGCACAAGTAATTTTTCTTTGTGTACCAGTAAATATTAATTCTTTAAAAAAATTCATTGGGAGCCTGTTGGTTTATGCGGAACAATCGGTTTGACCGTTTATAAATGTAACAATTTCCAGTATAACTACTGGCCGACCTGCAAATGTTTATGCAGGCCTTGCAAGGCTTTGTCAAGGCTCGCCTGAAAGCAGCATCAGATTACTAGGCCGACCTTATTTGATAAACGAACAACTGTGGTCCGACCGGTTTGGCCACTTAAACGAAAACAGCCTTGGTGTGTTGCACACATTGTATGAAAGTGGATCATTTGTTAAGGCACTCAACTTCATACAGTTGGTCCGGATTTGATGTCTGTCAAAAATAGATATTTTCATAGTTGTACGGGGTTAGAACACTAATCTAGCTAAACCTAGCATAGAAACGTAATACATTATTGTAGCAGTAACCACCCCTCCAAATTAGGATATTCCCCTCCCTCCCATCAAACAGTAGACTAGCTTCACTAACAAAAGACCTGTGTCCAAAGCTGCCCGTACTTGAATTTGATAGATTCAGAATGTTTGATATTGAAAACAAAAACCTTTGAGGAAGGGTTCTTTGAGCCCCTGCTGCAGAAAACGTTTAATATTTACCTGTACTCACCCCTCTACCCAATCCCAATTACTTCCTCTTCAGCTTCTGTGTTCAAAAAGACAAGAAATAGTTCAAAACTAAAAGGACTATAAGGCTTGGTGAAACATTAAGCATGTTACTCGGACACAATTGTCAACTTACTGTATTTGTTATAATAAGCACCCAGTGTACATGAGAAATTGGCTAATGAAGGGGCTCTCGTTTAACTCATTCATGCCTGAAATTTCATAATGAACTATTCTAACCTTTGAATTGGAGGAGTTCAAGTGAGTCTTCAGGGACAAATATGGCAGTTCCTGTAAAGGTGATGTATGTCAGACACGTTTCTGGGGAATTATTTTTTTGAAGTTTGGTGTTCTGTTTTTCTTCTAAGACACTGGAAAATTGTCTTGTCAGATTGTGAGACTGTAGTGTCAAATATAATGGTATTCCCGGTAATGGAAATATTGTGTTTACACGAGAGGGCCAGAATGGAGGTCATTTTGAAAATGTTTTTTAATCTTAATAAGTTATGGAAAAGAGGGAGCGACACTTAAAAGGGGAAGGGCACTAATTATGGCGAATACTGTATGATAGAAATGACAGAATAAGCGATCTTAAGATCTGTTTATTGTTTTAGTAGGAACAATGCATTAGAGTTCACAAAAATGTACCACTAATATCTAAAGTAGAGGTGAAACCTTTGTTTTTTTCTCTCTGGTAGTCTGCCTACCACTTCAGATATTCTCTCTTTCCAGCCCCCCATGTATGTCGAAGTAAGAACCTAAAACTAGGACATTCAAAGGTGACATCAGAGGATGCGTTTTTGTACAAAATTGATTGTTTTGTATTTGTTTTATTAGTTGACGTTTTAATGGCATTTTGTTATTGTTCTGTGTTAAGACTTCAGTATACTTAGGCTTCATCAAATAAAATGGAGACAGTTCTCCGCTGGCACAATATTATTGATAAATTCACAAATGTCATGTTTCAGCAAAGCTTTTGTGATACTGTTGTGTGAAAAGGTCAAAGTTCAGCACATCCAAGGTAACCATGGAAACGAAACGTTGATTTGAAGGTTAAGGTTACTATGATGTATTAATAGTAACCAAGGTAACTAAAATCAAAGTGAAGAGTTCCCAGGGTTGCCACGGTAACTGGACTTAATTGCTTTGTCATTTGAGGTGCCGTCTGCTGGACAGACCCTTGTTTCTATGATTGTAATCAGGGGAGAAATCATTGTTTTTATCAGCTTGTCATGTTGTACTGTAGGGAGAATTCATTTTAGTACAAGTCCCTCTCTGGTTCCCAGTTTAGTAGAAGACAGAGCGGAAGTCTGGCAGTCAGGGTGACAATACGATCACACACACACTGACACCATACTTGTTATTGTTGTAAGGTTGATCTTTAATGCCTTCTCATGATTTTATTTAATGTTACATAATATCAACAAAATTATGTATATTTTTGCATATTATATTAGCTGTCATCAGGTGCTTCAATTGTGCAATTAGTGGAATATTTGTATTTATAACTTGTGGCAGTTTTGTAAAAGTAAAATTTACATTTAATTAATAAAAAATGTAATAACAAATAAATACTCTTAGTTGTGTCTTGTTTTCTTACTGAAGGTCAAGGTTACTATGATGTATTACAGTATTTATGATATCATAACCCTTCTCAAATTTGATATGTAGGTTCCTTTTGTTCGTAGTTGTGCATGTTAACTTTTGAGACTGATCAGATAAACAAAATGGCCGACAGACCATCTTGAATTTTGACAGTGAAGGTTTGTTTTTGCTATTTCTCTAGAAATACTGGAAGGATCTTTCTCAAATTGCAATGATCAGTTATATTAGGCTAATATCTGTCCTTTAAAGATTACAGAGGAGCGACACCAGACTTCAAGACCAGTCAATTTTACCGTTACGCGACCGCGAGAATCTTTTGATGTTTATCAAAGGATCAAACTAGTCTTCTTGTCTCATACACAAGGTGGTGAACACTGAGCCTTCAATGTTGCTATGACATATTCCAGGGGTGCAGAGAGCAAAAGTGAGCGTAACTCTTGGATATCGAGGATGTACTATTGTTTGAACAACTATGTCGAAAAACCAATAAACAACGCAACAAAGAACAATCTAAGCGTGGTATGTATGACCAGGTGGCTGCAAAACACCGAAATGACGTCACGTCGCAGTCTGTTTTCAATCTAAAAGATACTAGCATAGGCGAACAAAGCTAGTGATTCATACAGTCAGAGGTCAAAACTCTCTCACGTTACGTCATTTTCCAAGCAGAGTTTGTGTTAATTTACTTTTCAAAAATTAATTTTTCATGGCTTCGTTTTAAGTCAAACAATGATGAAATCTGGCATACAACTAGAGAATCATCTAGCACTTCTACTGGACACCCTAGAACAGGTGCTTGTCTCTCTTATCACAGGTCTTTTATCCATCACGTTCCTGCTTGGCAAAAACGCATGTGCCTTGACAAAAATTGGTCGCGAACTCTAGATGAGAATGACCAGACATGAGGGTTTTAGAACAACTTGAATCAGATATTTCGTCAATTTGAATCATGATTACGAAGTAATAAGACATGCAGTTCTCCAAAGTAGGTCGCTTTCTTGACACATTTGAAATCTGCCAGTTCATAGGTTAGATTAGTTCATTATGAAATTTCAGGGGTGAATGAGTTAATTTATTGTATGCATAAAGTCAAGTCAACTAAGTCGAGTTACCATGAGATATAACCTCCATGCCTGGTTATTATGTTTCACCTTCGAATGAGCGGAGATATAAAGTACTGGTTCTTTTTCTGTAACCGTCTCGTCCAGACTTGAATCTTTAAAACCGTTTAAGATATCTTGACGAAACTTGAAGTATACTTCATCACCAACAGAATGTGTGCAAATATCGCTGTAACAAATTATCGGGTGCCTTCGTGTGTGCAGTGCACTGATGTCAAATCACTGTGACTTGAGCTTGTGTCAATGGCAAAATCGATGCAAAATTACTAGTGAAATCTTGTCCGTGTCTAACTTTTAAACTGACAATATATCGAGACGAACCCTGAAGAAGGTAAGTAGTGCACTGTAAGTTGATCAACGTGACCTTTATACTAGACCAAAGGTCAAATACATGTAAAATTTTCAACGAAATTATGTTTGAGCTATTGATTTTGAACTGTAGTGAAAACATATTGATTATGGCAAATATTGAGAAATATGTTTCCGTTCACGATAAGAAATCGTTATTTTTTGTACTTCACACATTCTGTGGGTGATGTAGGTTTACTTTATATTTCGTCAATATGTTATCACTCGCAAGCCAACAAACCCATCACGAAATATAAAGTAAACCTACATCACCCGCAGAATGTGTGAAGTACAAAAAATAACGATTATGGCAAATAATGAGAGAAATATGTTTCCGTTCACGATAAGAAATTTTTAGTAACAACGAGCGCGTTTGCTTCAATTACCTAAATTAGGGCGCGTCCCAGTGTTATACCACATCGCTGGAAAAGCCACCCTCGATATTCCAGGGGTTACACTCACTTTCGCTCTCTGCAAAGAGCCAAAGTGAGCATAACCCCTGGAGTATCGAGGATATGAAAAAAGCTAGCTCGCCAGCAAGACTGCAGTTTTCCTTCATATTTTTTGCCTGTTACTATGAATAGACAAGTGACGTAATAAATATCATCACACTATGCAGTACGGTTCTGCAGCAGAAGTCGTTGAAAATGTTAATACTTTAGACCCTTATGGGCAGAAAGTCAGACAAATTAATTTATCATAAAACAAATCCGAAAACGTTTTGATATCAGGCCCAGCAAGCTATAGCCTGCATATCAGGAAAGAAAATTGCTGAAGTTTAAACATTTTAACACACAAGGAAGCTACATGCCAGATGTTATAAAATATGTAAATAGTTGATGGCGAAGAGATGATATAACACAGCACCTTCTCAGCAGCCAATCATTATCGTCTTGGGCAGGTGAGCAAAAACACACAAAAAGAAACGTTTCCGGTTATTATTTTATTCTATTAACACAGTTCTGGAAGTTAGTCAGTTTGATGTTCATACACTTGTAAATGTCTAATATGGCTTTGTCAGACAGGATGTCCATTTCATGCTGCCGATCAAGTGATTGAGAAAATTCATCCGGGCCTTCTCCACAGCCACCTTCACCGGAAGTCACGTGACCGGGATGCACCATCCATTCACACGATAATACTTTTTCCTGAGAACAGGCCGCAATGAGCTTCTGTTTGTCCGAGTCTGATGACCCTGTGACGTCAAACACTTCAGAAAGATGAGACGTCACTCTGTCGACTGTCATATTGGAACCCATGGTTCGCAAGCCAACAAACCCATCACAGGTCCTAGAAGTAAAACCAGAAACCGAGATAAAAGAATGTATTTCATATTAAAAGAATGGAACAATATATCCTCATTTTAGTAACATTAAGTGTACATGTTAACCAGAATAATTAGTGTTTGTGAATTCCGTTTAAACTTCCGTAAAATAACGTATCGTTGTAATTTGATGTTTACAACGTGAAATATGTATCGCAAAAGGAAAGTTATTTAAGCGTTTAGAAAAGGTAAGTATTCGGTATTAGCTAAAGGAAACGTCAACACCGCTCACATGGGTGGCAGTATTAGACAAAGGAAATGTTAACCCTGTGTACAGGACACACATATATGACAACGTTAGATACAGAAAATGACATGGATGCATGCTTCAGGAAATTAAATTTTACGTTAGATACAGTAAACGTCAACATTAACTACTGGAAATGTCAATATAAGTTACAGGAAACGTCAACATTAGACACGAATGTCATCATTACGTACAGGAATTGTCAACATTAGCTTCATGGAAACGTCAACAGAAGGCACAGGAAACGTCAACATTAGCTACAGGAAACGTCAACAGAAGGCACAGGAAACGTCAACATTAGCTACAGGAAACGTCAACAGAAGGCACAGGAAACGTCAACATAAGCCACAGGAAACGTCAACATTAGCTACAGGAAACATCAACTTTACGCACAGGAAACGTCAACATTGGGCATAGGAAACGTCAAAATTAGACACAGGAAACGTCAACATAAGCTACAGAAAATGTCAAAAGTATGTACAAAAAGTGACAGAGAAAGCGCTGACAGTTTTTCTAGTACGCCATTGTATAGAGCCAACATTGACGTACCACAGTTTGTGAGAGGTAAACACCTTACTGGCAGCCTCGGTCTGATGTACCAGCTCCGTCATGAACTCAGCCTTTTGGGGCGTGGCCCAGACCTCTGAGGCCACACCCCTTTCATTTGGTAGGCGGGTGACCTTCACACCATTTTCACTGAGAACTGCAGCAAACGTTTCCACTATACCTGTTTGTAATCAGTAAGAAAAAGTCAGTATAGCCAGAGGTAGGTTCTAGAGGAGTTCCCGCGGGAAACCGGAAGTACAAGAAGAACATGCAGTAACGGTTGCTAAAGAGGGTCAGTCGTCAGTGGGATTGCGAGTTGAGAGGACGGACCAAGATTTCACAACACGTGATATTGCGCGTAAAACATTAGACATAATTGGTGGACAAACATTGTATTTGTCTGATTGGTGTTTCCGACTTAACTTGCAATGAAGTATTAAAATGACAGACTTAAAAAGACATTCGTCTTTCGTCAGACCAGTATATTTTTAGGGGTTAAAAAGCGATATATAATATATTCAATGCTGAATGTTATCTGTAAAAGGTTACCCGGTATCACGTGTATATGTTGGTGACCGTCTGCATGGTAGGGCGTCTCTCCCATCAGATCCCGGAACTTATCTATCTGGGCCTGAATCTCACGTCGAACCTGTCAAATATCACTTCAGGTAGAGTATCAACAAATTACATTCATTTGATTTTAAAAAAGTGGCCCGGAAGCTGGTCGGCCTATAAAAGTGTATAGAGGCTAATCATGTTACGGACCGGCTCTTTTTATTTTTATTTTTTTTCTCATTCTTTTTTTTTCATGGCAAAACTTAGTGCCCGTGGTTCATTTTTTTATCCTAAACAATTTGTAGTTGACGTTTTATGTTTTCGTCATAACTATAAGGTCTATGACTACGATGTCCGCTGATGGTGGAGCAATTGAAGTACAACCACATGAAAATGTCACAACTTGAACACAGCAATGGCTGGACAAATATTCTGACAACGGTCTTATCTGAAGTTTCTACGCAGACGCTGCTGAAAAATAATAAACTTTTGCAATTGGGGCGGCGGATCTGTGACAATTACCCGAACGCGAAAATTACTGGCAATGTACCTCTATGATGTCGAGTTTCCCTTCCTTGACCGCCTCCCGGAAACCAAACTTGCCGAGGAGACATCCGTTTCGGGTCAGAGTTCTGTACCCCTGTCCAATGGTGTGGCCCTCGGTCAGGTTCACGTGCAAGCCTAGGTACAGACACAGATAATAAATAACATGAAATCTAAGGAAAGAAAACAAATGACAGAACCATCGCTATACGATGATCTGTATACTACAGCACAATACGACAAGGAATCCCTCTGATGCCAAAAAACTCTTTAAACATACTGATATACAATGTGATGTTGAGTTACAGCGAAATGATGCGGGATGTATATCACTATCCCTCCTCTATATAACGGCGTGTCCGGTTGGATCATATTTATCACTTGGAAATAAACCCTTGTGTTAAGCTAACGAGCTCGAGTTTCCCCGGTCATATTCCCCTTATTTGGAGCCATGCTGGAAAGTTCCGAATGACAGCAGCAGACGACAACTATTGCGCAGAAGTCTGGCCATCTTCGCTGTTAGTTGTTATTCTATTTCGGTATAAGCATTATTTATTGTCTTTGCGAAAGGGAATCGTGATTCTTTGTTTTACCTCGATTAATATTGCCCGAATGAAACATGATTAATCAAGGTAATCCAAAAAGTCGTGTTTCTCTACCACGAGGGCAATACATGTATAGTATTACGTTTGTCTGATTAATCAAGCATTTCACGTGTTGGTCAGTTATGGACTAAGTCAGCAGCCATGGCCATCTAAGGTCAAACGTTTATGCGCGTTTGTGAGAACAGCATATCTTGTAAAACATTTTGTAACATAGACTTGACCTTGAACTCCGTTAATGTTTAGGTACTACAGCTAGGATCGTGTTACGTCACGTGTTGATATGCATCTATGAACATTATGTAAGCTTGACCTTCGTCCATGACCTATGACCTTGACCGATGGGACCTTGGTTTAAGTTACCGTGCCGCAATCGGTCGGAAAAACTGTGGTTAAAATTGCAGTCATAAAATTCCAAAGATTCCTTTAGATTAAAGCAGAAACACATGAAAAATTACATTTGTGTTACGCAAAAATTTAACGTTCTTAAATGAAAAAGCACTTAATTATAAGAATTTGTATCTCAAAGTAATTACAAGTCCTCACATCACTGTTCTGAGTGTTCTCATAACTCAAGTTAATAACTCTCACGTTTTAAATGAATTGGTATTCTCACAGTTAATACTTCTGTGTTTATTGGTTAATTATGAGTTCTCACATTTCAAATTAATTATCAATCTCAGGGTTAATAGGTCTGACGTTTCAAGCGAATCATTATTATTATCACATTTAAGTATTCATAAGTATCAAGCCAATTATTCTTCTCATATCTAATAATTCTGACCTTTCAAATTACTTATGAGTTCTCACAAACGTTAAGAATTATCTCGCTTCAAGTTAAATATCAGTTTTCACATATCAAGTTATCAAATTATTTCCATATTGTAAGTAATCGTTTAAAATAGTCAAACGAGAACAGTTTGTAAATGCACGCGACATGATATGTTACGAAACAGTTGTATCACTGGGGTTCGTTACAAAAAAAATCTAAACTACACAAATGCTTTACTGATACGTGTAACACCTCACATAAACGTATCAATATAGCATATGCGTATTTCAGACATTTGTAACGAACCCCTGTGGCGGTATAAACTAGAACTGTAAGCCAAAGGCTAACTAATACCCTCGCTCCTAAACAAACCAGAACTGTACGCTAAAGGCTTACTTATGCAAATCAATATAGTCTCCCACCAGTAATGAGTTATGGTAATCACTATTTTGTTAAAAATAAAAAATAAAAAAACAAAAAAATAAACAAGTATTTCGCACAAAGGGGCATGACTCCATCAAAAAGGGTTGAAATCCCAAATTAAAATGCCGGTGCACAACTACATAAGATACTGATCATTCATGTAAAGTTTCAATGAAATCCACCTGTTAATTAAGGAGAAGTTTTCCGGACAATTTACTACGGACNTGATTCCAGTATACCCCCCTCCCCCCTAACTTCGTTGCGGGGGTATAATAAACTGAAATATGGTGGAAATTGCGTTTTTCTTGTCTTAATCCAGTGTAATTAAATCGGGAAGCAATGCACCAAGACAGTTAACAGGTCGATCACAGACTTAATTAATAGTTAAACTATAATTCAATGTCTTTACCAAGTTCGTTTCACACAGAACATAATATGTTTGTAAGAATATGCCGACAAACACACATAACATGTTATAAATTTGAATGAAACAGATTACATAAATAAAATTGTATATAGATCTATGTATCTATTTCAGGTACGTAATACATAATTCATTTTCATAAAATTGACATCGATCTTTTTGTGTGATATACATTGTATATAATTATTGTCTCATTCTCTTTTCAAATGTATCATTAATACGATTCGTTTTGTCGAACAGCAGTATAAAGTTACTACTATCGATGAGTGTATTCATCAGTTCAAAGGTCACCTGTAGCAATATTGTACTGTTTAGCCAGTTTGGCTGCATTCTCTGCCCGGACACCATTGACCAATAGGGACACACTGCTGATATGACCCTTCCGGTAACACTCCACGATTCCAGCATCTCTCTCGTCGCTGTATCCGAAGTCGTCAGCGTTCACAACCAACAACCTCTTCATCCTAGTCGCGACGTCACATCCTCTGACTTTAGTGATCCCAACAATTTAGAGTTAGCTCCCTTTGAATGTTCAGTGTTGCAGCAAGCAGATGGCACGCGAGGACAACCGGATGTAACCACCTCTAAAGTCAGGGGGGAAGTCAGTCAAGCGTGACTCTGCGTTAGTTTTTATTGGTAGGGAAATCGAAGAACAATAGAGGTACCCTATGTAATCGGTTACGCACGTTGGAGAACAAAGTATACTATAGAAGACAAAGGCAAGCCGAATGCGATTATAGCCAGTTTCACATTATCCCATATTACATTTGAGTTCATTTTTCTGAGAATTTATAATACAATACGGGTATACCCCCAGAATTTAACCTTTATAAAACCAGCTTTAATATAACGAAACAGTGAAGAAGATTTTTGTTTATAAATTCTTCCTGTTTTCTGTTTCGTATATAATTTTCAAACCACACAAATAACTGTGGACTAATGATTGCTATCCAAGTCCGTGTACTAACTCTCCTTCTTTTCAGAAAACGACTATATGTAAATGAGTTTACTTGATTTGCGTATGAGATACTGTGCATAATAAGTTATCCCGGAACCGACCAATATACATATATATGATATATTATATATTCGGGTAGATTTATATTAGAGTCTTACATATTATTCGCTCGGCATGCGTATTTGAATATATATATATTATATTATTGGGGCAAATATATAAATATTAATAGGGTAAATTTTATGGGATATATTTTTATAATGATTTAAATAATAAATAGTGTATAATACGATTTCCCCATCGTATCCCCGTGTTAACTCTCGACTCGTATCAGCCTTCGGGCCTCCGGCCCATGGGGCTAGCTGCATGATATTGAAGTCTGGTTCATACGGGGAAGGAAATTGAAATGGCCATATTATAAACTTTAAATACTTTGATTAAGACGGTTATCAAACAATAACTGGAACACAAAACAATATCCAGAAGAATTTATTGGTAGTAGTATAGTAGGTAGGTTTTGGACCCTTACAAAATGATCCTCCGATCCTCATGTGTCACGAAAATGATCCTCATGTGTCACCAAAGTGATCATCATGTGTCACCAAAATGATCCTCCTACCAAAATGATCCTCATACTAAAATTATCCTTCTATTAAAATGATCTTCATGTGTCATCAAAATGATCTTCCTACCAAAATGATTCTCATTCTAAAAAAAAAGATCCTTCCACTAAAATGATCCCTAATCAAACATTTAAGTTTTAAAAGTTAAAATGTTTTTAAAATACTTAAAAATTTAAAAAATGAATCAAATTTCAAAAAGTTTTCAGATTTATTTTTTTATAAATCCAGAATGTCAAAATGAAAACTTTTCAGAAAATTTAATAATTTAAGATAAAAAATAAAATCTAAAAATATTTTTAATTTCGAAAAAGAAAAAGTTAAATAAAAGAAATATATTTCGAAAAGTAAAATTTTCAGTTTTCACTTCTACAATAATTAAATTTCAAATTAAACCTTTTTCCCAATAAAACTGTTTTCAAATAGCTCAACATGTTACGCCAAGTTAAAGGTCTTTCTACCACAATACGCTGTGTTATTCCACTCTCAGATCATTGTATAAACACGCAGACTGTTGGATAAATGTGAGTTATATACCAAACGTGGTATATGACCTTCAAGAGTTTTAATTGGTCGAGAAGATGAACTTTGACCGAGAAGACTTTTTCCACGTGCTTTTTGCCACCTGCCGTTTTGTTTACGTCGTCGGCTGTCAACATCCGACAAATGTTGGTGACGTTGTGAGGTTATGTGGAAAGGATGGTTAATAAGGCAATATTTAAAGATGATACTATACTTAACGAACTGATCGCTAGTTTCAGGCAAAATTGCTACAGACGCTCGATATCGTTTCGACGTCACACCGTCGCGTGTCCAGGTCGTGAAACCAAAACAAGATCTGCCACAGTGTCGGGAAATATTTCGTTCTCCCAATGTCCCGTTATCGCTATTTAGACGGTCTGACTATGGCTGAACTTTCACTATAAACGTCAACCTTAGAACCGTCACGAAGAAACGTAGGCCAATGGTTTTGGATATTGACAGCGATTAGTTCGTCTACAACGGTTCATCACTTGGCGGGAGGCAGACTTCGTACGATATCCTTCCGCGCATAAAGTCCGTGGTTAATCTATATAAATTAATGCAATACTGCTACTCTCAATATTTAAAGTCGTTCATCTATTTTATTTTTTCACGAAGTTGTTGACGAATCAACAATTTTGACAATAATTAAATTTGTAAAAAAAAGAAGTCATTTTTGAATATAAGTGTGTGACTTTTTACATATGGGTCATATCACTACGCCAGCCATGTTAACAAACACATGGGTGTATGTTATTTCCGACTGATCATGATATTGTGGTAGAAACAGATCCCACTACTCGTGGTTGTTGAGTATGGTATTTATTTCACTCTCGTTAGTTAATTTTCAAAAGTAACAGAAAGACACTCGCTAAAGCTTGTGTCTTTTGTAACTTTTGAAAATTAACTAACTCGAGTAAAATAAATACCATATTCAACAACCACCCGTTGTGTAACCTCTATATATCCATCTAGCAACCATTTCATCGACATCTTGTATACGAACAAAACAATAATGGTACAACGTTTTTCAAATAACTCCGTAAAAATATGTTACGACAAGAGCAAAGTTGATGGGATTTACGAAGGGGAGGATAATTCCTTTCGAATGAACGTTTCTTTCGGAATGATACCCCGCAATACATAAACCGGAGAATATCGTTATTTCCGACCGTACGGGAATGAAACCGTTTTCCATCAACCGATTTTGATCAACCAACGTGCTGATGTTAATGGAAAACTTCGGAACAAATTAGAGGGTATGGCTCTTGTGGAATATGTGTTATGGCAGCGGGAAAACACTAAGTGGAAGCCTGTCTTTCTCACTAACATTCATATAGTTATATTCCGGACCAACTTTCCCCTGGGCTGTGGACGGACAAGACTGCCGCAGTACCTAATTAACAATCGGAACGTGAAAACATTCGACGGAGTAGCGATTTCAATGTGAAATCTGTGAAAACCTGTTTCCGTCATCATTTCAATGTTCGCGTCATTGCCGCACGTGCACAGGAATAACAAAAGCACAATTTCACGGAGGATACTACAAACTCAATTCCACAATTTTTGATAACTTGGAACAAAATGACGTCACCATTCCTAAAGAAAAACAACACTTCCCATGGTTTATTATGTATGATTTTGAGGCATGCTAAAACCAAATAAAACTCAAACTAGTACCGGAAAACTGTCTTGGACCAGAGAACACGTTCCTATATCTGTTAGCGTGTCGTCAAATGAACCGGGATTTAATACTCCGAAATGTTTTGTGGATTCTGATTTGGACTCCCTAACAAGTTTCATGATTAAACATATGGAGAATATATCTTCGGAGGTTACAACCCTTGCAGAGGAGCGGTGGGGAGACATTACGAAATTACAGGAACGGATGACATCACGAAAGCCATGAACCGGAGTCTAATTGACAAGTTCTCTAGATACTACCGTCAGACACTTGTTCTTGGTTTCAACTCCTCAAGGTATGATTTAAATTTGATAAAACAAATAAATGCTCAAAAACTTGGACTTGACGATCGAAAAGAAAAACCTTTTACAGTGAGAAAATGCAACGGATATAGTTGTATCGGCAATTCAAGATTATTGTTTTAGACATGTCTAACTATTTGGCTCCCGGTTCGTCTTACAGTTTTAAATGCGTATGGTGTTCAAGAACAAAAAGGCTATTTTCCATATGAGCGGTTTGATTGCGAGGAGAAATTACAGTATGCGTCACTTCCAGGTCACCAGGATCTTTACAGCTGTTTCAAAAACAAAAATATTTCATTTGACGAATACACGTTTTGTCAGACTGTTTGGAAAAAAACATCAAATGCGTACATTTCAAGATTTCCTTATATGGTATAATAATTTGGATGTTAGACCGTTCGTCCTTGATGTGGAGAATCTGTAAAAGTTTTATTTTGAAAAACAGATTGATCTTTTGTCAGTGCCGGGAATCGCCAGACGGATGCTGTTCGATGCTGGGGAAAAGACCGGAGCAACATTCTCCCTCTTCCATAAAAATGACTAAGATCTGTTCGATACCGTCAGAAGTAATATTATTGGAGGGCCTTCTGTTATATTAAATCGACACTGTTCTAGCGGGGAAAAAACTTTTATAAGGGAGAATCTTGAACAGCTATGTCAGAAGATAGTAGGATATGACGCGAATGCACTCTATCTTTGGGCCATCGACCAACAAATGCCAGTAGGACCTTATATTCGAAGGGAAAGTGAAAACGGATTTCGGCCTGAACTACGTGAGAAGTTTATGAGTTCGTTTTATTGGCTTGATTGACAAAGTAAAGACCAAGGAATAAACATTGTTCATTAACATAACAACAAATATGAAAAACGAATTTGGCCGTATCCTGTGGATGATTATTGTGCTGGAAACAAACCTGTGCTACAGTGTCATGGGTGATATTTCCATGGTCATCATAACTGTCCGTTGACCAGAAACATAAAAAACGAGGAATGGCTCTCGAAACGTGCAACAAAATTGAACAAATAGAGAAAACAACCTCTTCCCTACGCAAGCGGGCCTACAACGTTCTAGAAATCTGGGAATTCGAATTCAACGCTTTAAAACAACAGACCCCCAAGCTTCAAGAATTTATTCACGAAAACCAGCCCAGGTTTTATAGGAAACATAAAGGATCATCAATGCTATAACCAAGCGAAGATTGTTTTGGAATGTTAGCGGTGGACATTAGGGTACCGGACGAGTGGACGGATGGATTTTCCATTAACAAATATTATCCGTATGAATATTTTTGTGAGATGTCCCCAATATTCTGTACAACAGAGGTTCCGTTCAACTGTATTGGAAAACATATGCAGGACCATACACGTTCACAAAAGAATTAGCTCAAAACCACGAACTCTAACCTGTAGGAGGGATGAAAGCAGAAAAAAAGCTGGCATCC